CACCAGGGCCAGACAGGCTACCCCTTCATTGATGCCATCATGACGCAGCTGCGCAGCGAGGGCTGGATCCACCACCTCGCTCGGCACGCCGTCGCCTGCTTCCTCACCCGCGGGGACCTCTGGGTGTCCTGGGAGGAAGGGCTGAAGGTCAGGAAACACCCCCCCAACATCTACTGGCACCCTCCAGGCTCTTGGGGACCCCCACACCACCACAGTGTCCCACAGGTCTTTGAGGAGCTCCTGCTAGACGCAGACTGGTCCCTCAACGCCGGCAACTGGCTGTGGATTTCAGGCAGTGCCCACCGGTATTTCCGCATCTACTCGCCCATCGCTTTCGGAAAGAAGACAGACCAAGATGGGGCGTACATTCGGTAGGCGCGAAACCCAAAGCCACGTGAAATGGGGGGTGGCCTCTCTAGTGGCTTTGACCCCTCGCCGTAGGAAATACCTTCCTGTCCTCAAGGATTTCCCCACCGAGTACATCTACGAGCCCTGGAAGGCACCACGGGCTGTGCAGGAGCGGGCAGGCTGTCTGGTGGGCACCCACTACCCCCGGCCCATCGTGGAACACAGCACGGCAAGCAAGAGGAACCTGGAGCGCATGAAGGCAGCCTACGCCCGAAAAGGCAACGAATCCACTAAAAAGCACCATACTCCCCCCACAGCCTTGCTATCACCCCAGCTGCCTCCAGGCACCAAGCAGGAGCCACCAGCCAGCCCCTCAGTGGCCAAATTGCAAAGGAAAAAGCCTGAGGACGAGCAGCGCTGAGCCCCATCGTGACCCCAAGGCAGCCAGTTACACTGAGGCACCGCTTGTCCTATTTTGACCCATTTTGCTCAACAGCTTCGCATTAATCCCTTATCCCTCTCTCACCCTAGGACTGCCAGCTTTGCTGCTGCTGCCACCACCTGAAAAATCAACTCCCCACCCAAAAACATACCCCAAAGGAGGGCGAGTCACCCGTCTGCCTGAGTCAGCCCCATCTAGAAACCCCTGGAGCTGCCAGACCATGCCTCAGAGGCAAACATCACAAACCCCAGCTGTGGGGCAACACCCCACAGATCAACCTCCACCCTTGCCTTAGCTATAACATAACCATTATTAAAGGGAACGCAGTTATTAAACAAGTGCAGCTTGATCCACACCATGCCTGGACCCACCAGCAGCAGCACCATGTCGAAATCCCCTCCAGCAGGAACTTGCTTTGGCTATGGTACCACCGGGCGGGTCACCACAGGGAAACCTGGGGCTGACTCAAGAGGAAACAGGCTGAGGATAGGGCAAGTGGAAGGTAGGGTCAAAGCCAGCCCCTGGAAAGGTATTAACGTGAGAAAATAAGGCTATTTTTGTCTCCCGGTACACCTGCCATCCACACGCTTTATTTATGGCGCCAATACAGCACAACACGTAGCTACCTTGAGAGCCAGAGAACAGCTTCTCTTCCTGACAAGCGCTGGATCCACCCCAGCTCCTTCACACAGATGCCTCAAAGCGTCA